TGGGCTCCGCAGGCACGGTGGGGAGGAGAGGGCTGCTTCATGTGGGGCATCACCCAGGCTCTGAGAGCAGTCCTTGGAGGGGGCTGGGTGTCCTGGCGCCCATGGAGTAGGGGGAGGGGGGGTGACGGCTCCCACATGGGACCAGGAGAGGCTCAGGTGGGTATGGGCAGCGCCTTGGCCAGCCAGATGCAACCACCCAGAGCTTCGGGCCACAGAAACAAAGCCTGGACCCTGTTGGCTTGACCCCTTTTCTCTGTCCCTCCATGCATCTCTCCCAGCTGCTCCAGAAAGCCCCTAAACTGGAGAAGAGACTGCCGGATTACTGCCCTGTCAGCACATTTGTTTATTTGCTCACCACCAAAGGCTACAAATTCAACAACCATTCCTTCCCCAACATCGCCTTCCAGAAGAAGGTGGGTAACACCAGAAGACATAGCCATCCCATAGTATCTGTTTGGAATTAGGCCAAAAAGCCCTGCAGGAAAGATGATCCCAGACCTAGAAAGAGCCAAGCAATGTGAGGGAAGATCTTGGGGAACAAGGGCAGGATGGGACTCCCAGTTTTTGGGTGGATCTTCTGGGAGATAGGAAAAAATGAGCTGAGCTGACTCTAGGGTGGTCATGGAGGCAGGTCCTCCAGTCCTTCCTTGGCCCTCAAGGCACCAGCCATCTCAAACAACTCTGCTCAGGCTTGTTGGGAAGTTATCTCAGGGCAGGAGCCCTCCTTCGCTAAGTGCCCTCACCTGCATGAGCCATGGGATGGGCAGCAAGATCAGGGCTGGCCCAAGCGGACGAGATCCTGCTCCCATCGGATGAGCCCAGCTCAGCACAGGAGGGTCACTGGTTCGTCCCTGGGATGGCTGGACCCATGGGCGAGCAAGGGCTCAGGGTGCTGTGGACTCCCCCACACCCCTCTCCTCCATTGGGCTGACACTGAGGTGGTCCCTGGAAGGTCTCTTAAGGCCCGTGGAGCTGGGTTGACTGGGATGGTGACCACACCATGCTCTTCCCACAGGCAGGAGAAACCTCCATCGGCTGGGCCCTGGGCTACATGCTGAACCTCACCAACATGATCCCGGCAGAGAAGCCCTCTTCCCACAAAAGCATGCTGTACAACTACTGGGTCATCCTCATCCTGCTCTTTGTGGTCACCACCCTGACGTCTCTGGTGACTGCCGTCTGCCTGCTCCGGCGCAGCAAGTCCAGCGCAATCTAACGGCAGGAACAGGGTGGGCCTTGTCTGCAGGACCCAGCACCATCCTTCCTGCTGGAGCCTCCATGGCCTGAACACTTGGGATGCAGCAAGTGCTCAGAGATGTCCTCCTCCAATATCTGACGCTGCCGGTCCCAGAAGGAAAGCTGTCCCTTTTTGCCCTCCCCTTGCTTTCAAGCTGCAGAAAGGGGAGGACAGAAGAGGACCTCTGGCCCTGCAGGAGAATGGCTTAAGGGTTTCCCAGCACCACTCAGGGATGGACCCCGGAGCAGGCTCGGGATTTGGATGTGCAGACCTGGGGCATCTTTCTGCCACCAGACCTGGGCTGGACTGGGCCAGTAAGTCCAGACAACAGCAGGATTTATTCTCGTGTGCATGGGGTGGGTGGGGAGTATTACTTACGCTAGTCCTTATAGCTGACCTCTCTAGCCTGTCCCTGGAGCATCAGCCCTGCCTCCCGCGGAGCTCTGGGCATCACCATCGCCCACGCTGCCTTTCTGGCCGACGCACAAACCCCACTGACCTTCTGAGGGCCAGATCTTGGCCTGGACTTCAACCAGCCTCAGCACAGGGGCTTCGGGCAGGGGCTTAGCAACAACCAGATGTGGGGAGCAGGCAGCTTCCCAGGTCCCACTTCAGCAACCAGACACGGTGCCTTCCCCATTCCTGTGGCTCCTAAGCCAGACTCGCCTTTGCCACAGCCAGAGCCTCTCCCGTCCCCCCGGCAATGGCACAAAAAGCCGCCGTGGCTCCGGTGCGTGGCTGTGCCGGCGCAGCGGTGATGGGCTCGCTGAGGGAGTGGGGTTTTGCACTACTTTAGGATTTGAGCCCCGCATCGCCCCACGCCAGGCAGCTGGGAGGACGCGCCTTCATTTCCAATTGAGTAAGAACAGGGACGTGCAAACATACAGAAGGTTTGGTTTTGTTTGGTTGTTTTTTTTATAATCAGAAATAAATCTTTGTAACCACTCCCATGGCTCTGTGGCTTCTGATCAGCAAGAGGCTGATCAAGCCTGGCTGTTCCGCAGGGGCAGAGCCGCTCATGGGGTCTCCTTGGACACAGATGCAGGTCAGGCTCTGCCTGAAGGTCTCCATCCCTCAGAATCACAGAATCATTAAGGTTGGAAAGGACCTCTGAGGTCATCGAGTCCGACCTGTTACCCTGACTGCCTGGTCCACCTCTAAACCATGTCCCTAAGTGCCACATCCACACATTTTTTGAACACTTCCAGGGACTGTGATTGCACCCCTGCCCTGGGCAGCCTGGGCCAGTGCCCGACCACTCTCTCCGTGAAGTTTTTCCTAATATCCAACCTAACCCTGCCCTGGCGCAGCTTGAGGCCGTTCCCTCTCGTCCTATCGCTTGTTCCTGGGGAGAAGAG